AGTACAGAGCCATTGCTTAGAGCTCTGTTTCTGGAGGAAGATGAGAATGGAACCCTCGCCAGGCTAGGGAGCGCTTGGCTCAGGGGATGTGGGTTCCTCTGTCCTTGGGGCTGGGAGAACATACTCAGAGAAGGCTCCTGACTCCCACGTTTTTCTAAGGTGTAGATGATGCTCCCTGGGAGCACAGGAGTGCTCCTGGAGTATTTCATTCAGGAATAAGAATGATCCATTCCCTCTTGCTATTTGGAATCAGCCAAGGAAACCACATGTGGCACTGAGCTTTGTGATGTTAACAACAGCAGCGAAGGGTAGAGCCTCCAGGTCCTCATTCCACGGGCCACATTGCCGTCAGCTTACATCCCTGTTTGAGCAACAGCCTCCATGGTTCTGTTCATGCAGCGAGCTGCCGTTTGACAGCAGACAGAAATCTCATATTTTTAGATATCCAGTGGCCCAAACAGAGCATGTCACACTTTGTACATCTCTGATTACTCTCGGTACTCTGAGCCTGGTGTCCAGGAATGCGATGTTGCTCCAGCCGTGTGAGAGGCTGGGTCTCTGGAGCCAGGATGCATAAACCACGGTCCAGGCTCACCCCTGGCAAGCTCACATCTCATTTTGACCACGAGGCCAGCAGTTCTTTTTGGGTTGAGCTCTGCTACACACCCATTGCTCTGAAGCCGCAGCCTGGGAGAGAAGACTTGGCTTGCTCATCGGTGGTTCAAGCCAGTGACTTACAGATGACCTTGGAGCTCAAGTTTTTCGGCTAAAGCCAGTAAAATTCTCCAAAACCTTTGAGAAAAAGTGAGACCAGACCAGACAGAAAGACAGACTCGATTAAATTATTGATTGATTCAGATTGTCTGGCAAGGGTGGGGGCTTGTTGGTTGAAAAATATTAACCGAAAATAATAGCCCCTTGGCCGAGCACGGTGGCTCATGCCTGTAATCCCAGCACTTTGGGAGGCCGAGACAGGCAGATTATGAAGTAGGAGACCGAGATCATCTTGGCCAACATGGTGAAACCCTGTCTCTACTAAAATACAAAAAAAATTATCTGGGTGTGGTGGTGCACACCTGTAGTCCCAGCTACTTGGGAGGCTGAGGCAGGAGAATGGCTTGAACCCAGGAGGCAGAGATTACAGTGAGCAGAGATGATGCCACTGCACTCCAGCCTGGGCAATAGTGCGAAACTCAGTCTCAAAAAAAAAAAAAAGAAGAAAAGAAAGGAAGGAAGGAAGGAAGGAAAGAGAAAGAAAGAAAGAAAAAAGAAAGAAGAAAGAAAGAAAAGAATGTCCCCTTTTTTGTCTTTAAAAAGAAATCCAGGCCGGGCTCTGTGGCTCACGCCTGTAATCCCAGCACTTTGGGAGTCCAAGATGGGTGGATCACGAAGTCAGGAGTTTGAGACCAGCCTGGCCAACATAGTGAAACCTCATCTCTACTAAAAAAAAAAAAAAAAATACAAAAAATTAACTGGGGGGGTGGTGGATGCCTGTAATCCCAGCTACTCGGGAGACTGAAGCAGAAGAATCGTTAACCTGGGAGGTAAACGTTGCAGTGAGCTTAGATCACTCTACTGCACTCCAGCCTGGGCAGCAATGTGAGACTTGGTCTCAAAAAAAAAAAAAAAAAAGAAAAAAGAAAAAAAAAGAAAAAGAAAAAGAAAAAGAAATCTATGCACAAACAAAATGACTTGCCCATGGATCAGAAGGCCACAAGCTCGGACTCACACAGGTGTCTCGGGGTACATATCAGTAGACTACAGTATGTCTCTGTCTTCTCTCATAGAGCTCAAAATCTTAAGCTTATTGAGAAAATGAAATCATTCCAAGTCTGATCCCATCATGGCAGAAAATAGGGCAAAATATAGGTCCTGGTTGCCTAGCCTTTTCATCTCCTGGAAATGAACTGCTTAAAAAAGACCTCGTGATTGATCAAGTTCACTGCCATGTAGAAAGCAGAACTTTTCAGAAGGCAGAGGCAAGGAGACAGAGCGTTGTTGTCTTCCTTTCCTGCACTGACAGTGCTGACCAATGCTCTGACCTCATCTTCACTCCAGAAATAGGAGTGAGAAACGGACTGTGAGACCGCTACACAGAAACACTTGAGCTGGTGATGCAAGTTTTCTTTTCTGCCTATGAACTTCAGTCTCCCAAAGTGCTGGGTTTCTAGGCATGAGCCACCTTGCCTGGCCTTTTTTCTTCTTTTTCAAGATGTTTTTCAGCTATTTTAGGGCCTATACCTTTACGTATAAATTTTAGAATATCTGCCAAAAATCACCGTGAGGCCAGTCAGAATGGCCCACACCTGTAATCCTAGCACTTTGGGAGGCTGAAGTGCGTGGATGTCTTGAGCCCAGGAGTTCATGACCAGTCTGGGCAACATAACGAGAACCCCAGCTCTACAAAAAATAAGAAATTAAAAAATTAGCCCAGCGTCATGGTGCATAAGTATAGCCCCAGATACTCAGGAGGCTGAGGCAGGAAGATGGCCTGAGCTGGGGAAGTTGAGGCTGCAGTCAGCCATGATTGCAACACTACACTCCAGCCTGGGCAGCAGAGCAAGACCATGTCTCAAAAAAAAAAAAAAAAAAAACCAACTTAAAAGATTTTAATAAGAATTGTGTTACCCTATAGATCAGTCTGGGGAGAACTGACATCTTTTGTATGCTGATTTTAAATTCATGATTATCATGATTGGAAAGAAGGGAGTGTGATGAGAGCCTTCCAAGTTAGGCAGATAGCCAAAAAATTAGGAACGTGTTTAAATGGATTGCACAGAAAGAATTAACTGGGATTTAAATAATCAAAGACAAAAAGGATATATAAAAGAAATGACAGAGGAGGCTTATCTTACTAGACTCCAACGCATTAATCTAGGACAGTTTGGTTGCTACAGGGAAGCAGTGTGCAAAAAGTTAGGAGGCATACAAAAGCTAGATGTTTATTTTGTGGGAGTGAATCTTTTTTAGGAAGGAAATAGCACTGTTGTGTTAGCCAGTGATTCATTTTCTTCTCCTATCTTTTCTTTACAGAGAAGACCCAGATAGTGAACTGTTATTATATAAGTTTTTATTTATTTATGCCCTACTTTTCTCCAAGGAGGGGCTTAACACAGCTTATAGAAATACATAAAACACAATCAAATGAACTTTAAAATGAGGGAAAAGCCAATTTGGTCTAAAGGAAAGGAAGATGAGGGTCAGGACTGAGATTAGGATGCGAAAGCCATGCTATGAAGTTTTGTTTGTTTGCCATCTTGAGATGGGTAAAAATAGCGTTGGCTGGGACAAATTTTTTTACCCCTAGCACAAAACAATCGTGAAGCCAATGTTTAATTTTTTTTTTTTTTTTTCCTTGAGACAGGGTCTTTTTCTGTTGCCAGGCACCAGGCTGGAGTACAGTGATCTCAGATCACTGCAACCTCTGCCTCCCAGGTTCAAGCAATTCTTCTGCCTCCCCAGTAGCTGGGATTACAGGCATGCGCCACCATGCCCAGCTAATTTTTGAATTTTAGTAGAGACGGGGTTTCATCATGTTGGCCAGGATGGTCTCAATCTCTTGACCTTGTGATCTGCCTGTGTCAGCCTCCCATAGTGCTGGGATTATAGGCATGAGCCACCGGCCCCAGTGTTTAATTATTATCCCTGTCATCTTTTCACTTGGCCTCAGGACTGTTCTTTTAGGGAGAGGCATTGTTCTGCAGGGTTAGTTAGTAACGGGAATTTAGATCCCGCTTAGAGAGGCTTCGCATGCTGGCTGAGGCAGCTGGTGGTCCAAGAACCCTGGCACCCAGAGGCATCTGGGAGGCCCCAAGCAGCACACAGCTTTTTGTTATACTGCAGCCCAAATCTTATGGGGTTTGTGGTTTATATTGAAGTTGGTGTAGACAATTAAGATTCACTGTTCTTGGTAATAACAGGGACAGAGAGACCTAAAATTGTGAGTATTTTTGTAAACAGAGTTGTGATATTTGTTTGAGTGCATTCAACATGTCATTGGCCTTTTTTATTTTATTTTATTTACTTATTTTTTGAGACAGAGTTTTGCTCTTGTTGCCCAGGCTGAAGTGTAACGGCACAGTCTCAGTCCACTGCAACCTCCATCTCCCAGGTTCAAGCGATTCTCCTGTCTCAGCCCCCCGAGTAGCTGGGATTACAGGCATGTACCACCACGACCAGCTAATTTTGCATTTTTAGTAGAGATGGGGTTTCTCCATGTTGATCAGGCTGGTCTTGAACTCCCAACCTCAGGTGATCTGCTTGTCTTGGTCTCCCAAAGTGCTGAGATTACAGGCGTGAGCCACTGCGTCCAGCTGGCGGCCTTTTAATGTTTAAAAAAATACACATGGCCTTTTAAGAACTGGTTGTGCTTCATAGTTAATATATTTTTTTAAATTAGTGTAGACTCACCTGGTTTTTCAGTGAGGTGAGCTACTCAAGATCCACAGGAAGATAGAACCTGCCAGTTCAGAGAACTGACTTTGGCTTGAAGATAAAATATTTGGGTCATTTTCCAGCAAGTACTTCCAGCACAATGCTTTCTTCTGATGATTCATTTTCTATACTTATTGGAAGTGGTAAGAAATCCACAGAGGTTACAGTATTTGTAAACTTGTAGAGACATGTGCCATTACATCATGCTGTTTCATAGATGTGTATGTCTGTTAGTTACATTTTGGGCATTCACTATATATATGTCTGTTACTTACTTTTGGGGTATTCAGTGTCTGAGCTTTATCAATTATCGTGTGCTCTTTTTTTAGCCTAAAAAACTAAGTTAGAGAAATGTTTGCTCATCCAAGTCTGTATTATTGTATCTTATTCGGTAGACTGCCGTTGTATTTTTTTAATTTCTCTATAAAACAAGCCGAAAGACAGTGTGGACAACCTAATTGCATTTGAAATAGCTGCTGGCCAGGCCTGCTGCAACAGCTGATGAGCTGCTCCGAATTTCCAGGCTATTTCTGGTAGATGAGCTGGTATCAAGGCTCTCGAGTTCAGGCCATAAAAGGCCCGTCGCATGTCTAGTTGCTTCACTGCTCTGACCGCGTCCTCCCCAGGCTGAGGTGTCCTCGGGTTTCATGTGGATTTGTCCAGTAATGGATGGCTTCACCGGGGCCAGGTTGGGGAATTTCGGCCTCAAGGACACCAGGGGACGGAAAACTTCAAAAAGAAGACTCTTTTTATTAATATTTTGGCGTTCTTTTTGGAGAGGAACTTTTGGGATGTAGCCTTCACCTATTTCCTAAATTTGACATCCAAAAAGGCTTTTGGAAAACACCATTCTAAATTTATCCTGTTCTGAATCATCATCGCTTCTGATAGATGCAATTGTCTGTTGATATCGTGATCTTTGATTTTGTACGCTATTTGGGCTAACTTTTGAGATTGTACTTTGTGCTTAGAATTTGAAAGTAGTATTCATTGGAAAGAGACTCCAAGAAAATACTCGAAGACATCCAAAGCTGGATTCGAGGATATAACGTGTTTTTTTGTTGTTGTTGTGTTTTCTTAATTAGAAAAATAAGGAATTGCAGTGTGATTTTCTTTCCCCCTTTAACGTAGAGGAACGAAGATTATACAGAAATTCAAAGTAAGTGAAAAAAATCTTCCTGTAAATCTAAATGCAGTTTGTTGGGTTTTTTTAAGTGCCATCTGTCTGAGCATGTTTCCTGAGGATTTGTTGACTTCAATCATTGGAAAATTCCTGCCAGTGTTCGCCAGTTACTGCAGCCATTCCTATAGATACCCTTGGGCATACTTCTTGGGTTGGGAAGGATTGGACTTTCTTTTTTTTTTTAAGGCTTTACTTTATGGTACAGAAAGGTTTATTGCTAACAATTTGATTAATATAACAGTACCTTCTCTCTAAATGTTAGCACTTGAAATCTTGGCATTAAAGTATATGCACAATGCAAAGTACTTTAATAATCATAGCACAAGCATGGGGGTGGAGTTCAGAAGGGCAAGTTTTATTTCACTGCCATTATAATTCATGTAAAAATAGAAAATCACCAGTGATCCTTTTGAAAAATCTTTGTTCGGAGGTTCTTTGTCTTGGTACTCTCATTTTTCAGGGCTTGATTTATAGAACTTGGGATGTTCCAGAATTTATGAGACAAACCTCACTGTATGTTCTAGAGTTTGAACTGCATTTTATTTTTAAATTCTCCAAGAAAACAATACTGCCTCGGCTTTTTAAAGCCTGGAGACTGCTATGGTCTCTTAGTAATTTAGCTCTGTGATTTGCTTCTGCTGAAAAATAGCAGTGAACTCTAGAACATTTAAGGCTTATTTGACATGTTGCTGCTTTGAAAAAAAAATATTATTTCTTTATACCATATCAGATGAACAAGTACAGGCAGTCATTATTCTTACCAGGTAGGAAGACAGAGTATTTATAGAGAAGAACTTCATCAGTGAATACTCCAAGGGATCTGCATGGAGGTCCTGCAGCAACCCTAGGGAGCGTTTGGAAATGCATGGGGATATTTCAGATTTTCTCAATAACTTACTGGCATTTGGGAGAATGTGGTTAAGAACCTAACGTACATGGTGCAGGGGACAGTCCCATACAGCATTACCCTGGCCAAGCTGCTGGTGATATCCTCTGTGGAGTAAAACTGCAGGGTGTACCTTGACCCTCTGTCTCCAAAGCAGCACAACCAAGTGCCAGGCATACGTGGGCTGTCTCTTCTCACCACACCTGGGGATGTCTTGAGGATCCAGCCTGTCAAGTGGACACTAATCCTGTCAGAGAATTTGTCTTACAATGGAAACGTTGGAGTCTACACTCTGTGTGTGTGTGTGTGTGTGTGTGTGTGTGTGTGTGTGAGAGAGAGAGAGAGAGAGAGAGAGAGAGCGAGAGAGAGAGAGAATTTATTTGGTTACCTTGATCACTGGATGAGGCTGATGTTATACAAGCTATTGTAGTACATTTGGTGCCTTCCTACCTACCTTTATGTTAGTGCTTTTGGCACATTTAATTTTGCCACGTGCCTAGTCTTCAGAATGAAATTTGGCTAATGCACCCACTTGCAGTGGATGTCAGTTTGTCATTCAACAAACACTTCTTTATCTTTGCTTCTACTTTGGAGACAGATTGTTTTGTGGTAAACAGACTTCTGGAAGACTTTGGAGTTCAATTCAGAGTGAACGTCTTTGGCCGCACCTGGGGTTATTTATTTAATATTTTACAGTTGGTGAGTTGCATCCAAAGGAAAGGACCCTTGGATTTTTATAAGGAGATCTGGTGAGCTATGGCACACACGGCTCTCAGGCTGCAGGGAGAATTAGGGAGACTGAACCGCTAGAAGCCTTTTTATTGTTAGGATACAAAAGGCAGCCTTGGAGTCATCTCCCGAATCTGTAGCTGCCTGGGCGTTTAGAACACTCGTTGCAATTTTATGTTAAAGCACTGATCTCAGGGTGCCTTGCTGTGACTGGGAGTACCCCCAGATCTAACACTTTCCTGCAGTTCTGGGCTTCATTGATTTGTGACTCAACTAGGAACCCTGTGGTCACCCTTAAGTCCTCTCCCTATAGGTCCCTGAGGCCTCTGCCCTACCACCTCCCCCTGAGCCTCGCCATCTCTTACCTGGGCTACTGCTTTGCCCTTAATGGGTCTCTTGCCCCTGGTTTCTCCTGTCTGGTCCAGCCACAGAATGACCTTCCTTTACAAAGATCTCATCTTGCACTCAGCCAGGGCCAAACTCTCATCATTTCTCACTGCCGACATGCAAAAGCCTGGGCTCTGTAGCCTCCCTTTCAGGGTCTTTCATGCCCCTGGAGTTTTGTCGGCAAGTCTCCCCAAAATGTTTTCTCTTGCCCGCCAGGGAAGCAGTATCAAAGGAGATGTGCATGAAGCTTCCTCGGACATGCCTCTGGCCCTCCCGGGCCTCGACTCCAGCCTACACTCTAGGGTTGCTGTCACTAGGTGTCCTGGTGGCCCTTTTCTCAGTAGGGGGTACCCGGTGAGGCTCTGAGGTCTCAGTTCTGTCACCACCCCCAGGGTCTAGCCCAGTGCCCACTACATAGTGGGCACTCCAGAATTGTGAGTCAGTTGAATGGATTGAATTGCCGCGACCTGTGGGTTCTTCATACTGAAATCTGGCTGTGATCCACCTAGCGCCTTTGCCCTCATCCTATACTGTTCACAGTAGAAGCTGCTGGTCTATGTTACAAGTTATCTATAACAACGCAAGCAGAAAGATTCATGTTACGGTAACAAGTCTGATGGGGTTTCTGTGTACATGCTTTTGCCAACCCAGGAAATTAAGGTGTGCTGCATGAAGTCAGTCATTTCATGATTGGAACTTTGCCTACAGTGAAGCGGCTCATCTAGTGGTGCAATTTGACCTAAGTGTTTTTCCCAAACATTCAGCTTCATCTGGGGTCACACATCTCAGGAGCAATCTGCACTGCTGATCTAGGGAGCACTTTGTTGTTGGTTCAGAGATCTCTGTCCCTCGTAGAGACGCCGCCTGCTGTAGGAGCTTTTGAGAGAAGCATTCTTTTTCCTCCTAAGGTTCTTGCCCCCTTCTGAAAGTTGATCTTTTAATCCCAAACAAGTTCATAACCTCTGTCTAACTGGTTTTTGTGCAAACAGAGTAAAAGAAGTAGTTTTCATATTTGCTTTGGGATCATCGGCCTGCCCATGTCACAGCCCTGGGTATATTCGTTTCAGTCTGTATTTTCTGGGTACCTTCCCTGTGCAGAGCTGCGGGCTGGATCCTGTGGGATGCAGAAGCCTGGAGCGTATTCCCTGTCCTTGGCAAATTCTTTCCCAGAGTGTTTGGGACAGGGACATAATGGAGCTATTTGACCAGGCAGACTGGAAGGGATGAGCAATAATAACAGCCCGTCCATTATTACTGTGTGCCAGTCTTCATGCCAAGTTCTTCACTGCTACAATATATCATTTAATTATTTTTATTTTTTGAGACAGTCTTGCCTTGTCACCCAGGCTGGAGTGCAGTGGCATGATCATGGCTCACTGCAGCTTCGAACTCCTGAGCTCAAGCACTCCTCCTTCCTCGGCCTCCCAAGTAGCTGGGACTACAGGCATTCACCACTGTGCCCAGCTAATTTTTTTAAAAAAAAATTGTAGAGGCAAGGGTGTCTCACTATGTTGCCCAGGCTGGCCTCGAACTCCTGGCCTCAAGCAATCCTCCCATTAAGGCCTCTCAAAGCACTGGGATTACAGGTGTGAGCCACCCTGCCCAGACTCTAACTTTTACAGTAACCCCTAAGAAATATTAGTACAATTGTCTTCATTCTACTGAGGGAAAAACTGAGGTTTAGAAATGCTTGCCCAAGCTTGGACGCATACCATGAGGTCAGGGGAGAGCTGGATTTGAACCCAGATCTAGTTGACTTCAGTGCCCATATTCGTAAACACTACTTTAGCCACTACGGCTCAAACTTTAATACGAATCACCTGCAGTCTTGTTACTACTGCAGCGTCTTATTCAGTAGCTCTGCACTGGGCTCAGAGATTCAGCAAACAGGATCCAGGTGATGCTGATTCCTCGGTCTGAGGCCTGGCTTTGAGCCGCCTTAGGCTAATTCTTTGCCATACCCCTGATGGCAACCAGTTGGGGTGCAGGACTCGAAGCGGGTTTCCAAGGGTGTGAAGGAGTCCTTCAAGGCTCCTCCGTTGCTCTGGGCTTTTCATTCCGCCCCTTCCCGCTCTCTTCCTACACGGTTCTCTCCCTTTGGTCTTATTTTCCACTCTGCTCTTCTCCTGGCTTCTTCTCCTTGTGTTGAAAACATCCTCAAGTTTCATCCATTCTAAATAAAGCTCTCCTTGACCTCAAGCGATCACTTCTGTCCCTGCCCACTCACTCCTCAGCACCGATCAGAAGCTCTTCTGTCCTCTCCTCTTGGAGACCCTTCAAGACCTCCTGGTTTCCTTGATGTCCCTCCAGGCTCCCTGGGATGGAGCGCCTCTCCATGAGAATCTCAGGTTTAGTGAGGGTGATGGGGCTCCGACCTCCACACTCAGCATCCACAGCCTGCTGTGATCTTGAGGTCTCCTGGTGGCCTTATTTTTAAAATCATTTTCTGTCTCTTTGCTTGCTCAGCTTTTCTTTTTAGGATCCATTTAAGATTTTAAAAGAATCCCAGTTTTCCTCTTTATAAGGTGAATTGTACAACCTGTCCATTTCAGGTGGAATGCATTCATCTGGCTTTTAGAGCTGATTTTTCTGTTCGTAATTAGAAATTAACTCCCCATTAGCTGTGTGAGAATTTGTATCCTCTGTATCTGCTATTGATAGAAAAGAACCGCTGGGTTCTGGGAGAAGACCTAAAGGACTTTTTATGTTAATGCCCCTATGATTTGTGAACTGTGTTTTGGTTTCTCAGAGTCCTCTCATTTCTTTCTGGACTGTCAATTATATTCTGAGCATGGAAAGTTGGCAGATAACTTAGGCTTGGATGGATATATACAGTCATTGAATAGAAAAACCAGATTGTTATTTTTAGGTTTTTAAGATCCCACATATTTTAAATATATATTTTAAAATTTTAAGTAAATACTCTTTCATACATTCTGAAACATTATACCTAATTGATCTCGTTTAGCCAAAA